ATATATATATATATATATATATATATATATATATATATATATATATATACAGATGAAGTCAGAAATATTAGCCCCCCTGAATTTTTAGCCCCCCCCGTTTCCAACACATTTTCAACCATAATAGTTTTAATAACTCATCTCTAATAACTGATTTATTTTATCTTTGCTATGATGACAGTACATGACTAGATATTTTTAAGACACTTCTTTAAGCTTAAAGTGGCATTTAAAGGCTTAACTATGGTAATTAGGTATCCTAGGCAGGTTAGGGTAATTAGGCAAGTTATTGTATAACAATGGTTTGTTCTGTAGACAGTGTAAGAAAAGTAGCTTAAAGCGGCTAATAATTTTGTCCTTAAAATGGTTTTAAAAAATTAAAAACTGCTTTTATTCAAGCCGAAATAAAACAAATGAGACTTTCTCCAGAAGAAAAAATATTATCAGACATACTGTGAAAATTTCCTTGCTCTGTTAAACATCATTTGGGAAATATTTTAAAAAGAAAAAAAATTCAAAGGGGGGCTAATAATTCTGACCTCAGTCATATATATATATATATATATATATATATATATATATATGAAAAGTTCAGATGCAAAACCCTCTAAATCCATCAGACCTCTTTTCTTGTAAATGAGCATCAGGTTCGTATAATTAGGTTCAGTAGTTTCATTTTATACATAATAATAAGGTTATTAGCTAGTAAATAAAATATATATTTTTTAAATGTCACTTTAGAGGTGACGCAGGGCGCAGTAGGTAGTGCTAGGTTCTAGCCTCAGCAGGGTCATTTGGCGTTGAATTAGGTTAATTAGGTAGGCTAAATTGTCCATTGTGTATGAGTGTGAATAAGTGTGTATGGATGTTTCCCAGAGATGGGTTGCAGCTGGAAGGGCATCCGCTGCGTAAATCATAAGCTGGATAAGTTGGTGGTTCATTTTGCTGTGACGACCCCAGAATAATAAAGCGCCAAAGCTGAAAAGAAAATGAACATACTGTAGCATATTTTATAGCTGTGCTAGCACAAAAAGCATTTTGATGCTTTCGTTGTTGATGCTAACATGTTTTAACACTGTGCTAGTATGCATTATTGTGTTGCTAGCATGACTCTTCTAACATATTTAGCTCATGGCTACTATGAACTAGCATATTAACAGCATGTAAACACAGTGTTAGCATGATTCAGCTGTTTTATTACTATGTTTAACATATTGCTATAGCATGTTCTAAAGCTATACCAACACAAAAACCATGTTCCTAGCATGATTCTAACATATTCAAAATTAATAATTTACCCAAAATGGTAAAAACAAAAAAGAAAGAAGAAAGAAGATTTACACGATTATTTACAATTTATAAGGTGCATTTATTGTATGGTATTGTCATATATCATTGTAATATATCAAAAGCTTATGAGGAAAATACTTTTTTATTGGGTTATTTGTGAAAGCACAGAGAGATAATGATACATTATTATCACTGTGAGTGGACAGTAATGATTGCCTGCAGATGCACAGAATCAGCAGATGCACAAGTGGGTCAAGAAAGTGGACCAAGGCAGAAAAAAAAGGTGAATGCACAAAATTAGTTGGGATGGCAGCAGTCAGTCTAGTAGAATCTCTTTATGATGGATGGGCTTTTAGCTGCTGTGATTGCTGTATGGGTTAAACACATGGGTTGTTTTAATTTTGCAATAAATAATAGTTTAATGGTAAGTAATTTGCATCTTTTAGGATATGTAACTGTCTAATTTAGAGGCCATAATTCATTCATTCATTCTCTTGTCAGCTTAGTCTTTTTATTAATCCGGGGTCGCCACAGCGGAATGAATCGCCAACTTATCCAGCAAGTTTTTACGCAGCGGATGCCCTTCCAGCAAAACCCATCTCTGGGAAACATCCACACACACATTCACACACACACTACGGACAATTTGGCCTACCCAATTCACCTGTACCGCATGTCTTTGGACTGTGGGGGAAACCGGAGCACCCGGAGGAAACCCACACGAAGGCAGGGAGAACATGCAAACTTCACACAGAAACGCCAACTGAGCCGAGGTTCGAACCAGCAACCCAGCGACCTTCTTGCTGTGAGGCAACAGCACTACCTACTGCGCCACTGCCTCGCCCATAGATAAAAAACAATACAATGCAAAACACACAGCAAATCTGCAATGACTTGCAAGTGTACAGTGACAAGAAATTAAAGTACTTTTATATCCATAACCGATATCAAATGTGTCATTGATCAGATTTCCACCATAGAATAGTTTCTTAAGGATTAAGTCTGTCTAATTTATTCAAATTTATTAATCACATGATCAAAACTGTTTGTTTAAAAATTGTCCATAATTAAGGGGAACTTACACAGTTTCTCCACAACATGACCCTTTGTTGGTCATAACTCCTAAAAGGCTACCATCAAATCTATTTAATTGCAGAACATTGAATGTCATCAAGGAAAAAAATATAGAGAGAGATTATTTCTTATTTATATTTCTGTTACAGCTTTTATGCTCTATAAGTCTTTTAAATATATTGCTTTTACTTGCCTTGACAGGTTGAAGACAACTCCTGATGCCATCTACCCACAATCAGTATCTTAACCAACAGTGTAAAAGATGCCACTACTTACTTTAAGCCTGAAAGCGGAAAGTGCTCCAGACCTCAAGGGAGGATCTACAAGACTCTACATGAAAGCTTGAGAACACATGAACCTTCAGGAAACATGAGTGTGAACGATGAACACGCCATATCCTTCGGGACCCCCAATGAAGATAACTGCGACGAAATCAGGAACAACAACAGACATGCTGAGGATTCCCTGGATGGAGATGCCAATGCTAATGAAATCCAGAGGGTGGATGGAGGAACAACTTTGGAAACAACCGACACTGTGTCCTCTGGGGTATCGCACACTGAAGAACAGGTGAAGATGATTATTCAGGGCACAGATTCCCCTTGTGATGATCCAGACTTAGCAGAGTTTGAGATGTTGGAAATTCAGGAATTAGAAGATGATGGAGAGAACAATATTCCTAAAGGTGTCATGAAGGGAGCTCTATCCAACAACATGAAGAAGAGTGATGCAGAGTCTGATAGCAAAGTCTTTCCCCAGTTTTCTTCAAGTGAGCAAGAGTTTACTGTTTGTCCTCAGTCCACGAGCAAAGAAACAGTGAACAGCATAGCCAAAATGGAGTTTAGTTCTGAAAACGATGTCTTCGTCACTTGTCTCTCTACAATGTCTAGTCTTGGAGGAAGTCTTGCCAGTGCCCTGGACCATGCTGGTCGGACCCAAAGCACTGATTCTTGGCATGCTCCCTTAGGGCCCTACCGAACTCTCTCTGAGGATCTTACACTTGCCTCACAGTCCTGTATGACAATTTCAGACAAAACCCAGAGCTCTCTTCACACAGAGAACATGCATCATCAGTCAGGAAAATGTACAACACACATTGGCGGTGTTGATCTCAATCTTAACTCAACCATCTTGCCTGAGGAACCACTTTTAGAAGCACAAGAAAACCAATCAGTTATTGACTCTGTAAGATGCGAGAGCTCAGGTCAACTCACAAATGGTATGAGTGAATGTAGCATTACAAGAATCACAAATGTCCCTAACGAATCAGGAAGTGCCGGTCAGGACAATCCAAGAGAATCTGAAGTTCATGCAAATGAGTGCCATTTAACAGAAGGCAAGTCTCCGTATTTGAAACCAATATCCGCTGAGGAGAAACCAAGCAAACCTCTTGTCTCAGATAACACACAGTCTACTTCACACATCAGAAGGTTCTCCCATGATTCCACTGGTGTTATAAAGAATAAGCTTAAGTCACAGGACTTTCAGGAATTTCCTGATAAAATCTCAAAATCAAGCTCAAAGGGTTCACCTGTTCACTCTACTGGTTCTGAACCACAACCATACAAGAAACAATCATCTTTTGAAAGAACCAGAAGTTCTAGTTCTAGCTTAGAAAGGCGAAGACCTTGGGCAAGCCCTTCTCGCTCAGAGACCCCTCAATCCAATCATAGTTCACCTCGGAAGCTGCCGCCTTCATCACCAGCCAAACATTTAAGCACAAGAGAAGCAAGTCAAGAACAGAGTGAATCTTTTCAAAGGGGAACCACTGGATTGAGGCAACCAAGTAAAAGTTTCCTCACTAGTAGTAGCAGTCTCCCCAAAACTGTCATTCTTCAACAACCCTCTAGAGCGGAGTCTGAATCTAAGAAGTCTTCTCCTCCTCAGAAGCCCAAAAACGTAAGACCAAAAATCATAACCTATATCCGCAAGAGCCCCCAAGTAAAACAAATGTCTGAAGGTCCCTACGAAGTATCGACACTTCCACCAAGACTTACGCCATACGGTAGCTCAACAACCTCAAAAGAGCCCAAGACAGAGGGGTCCAGAGGTTCACCCGTGTTGAGCTCCTCTAATATTCTGTATGATAAATACCGGCAGGAGGTACAGAGATCAGGCTACTACTCCCCTCCAGGACTAATGGCATCTGGAATCAGGCCACCCAGCCATACTGTCCCCCATAAACTTGTGGGCAAATCTGAGAGTTTCCACGGGAAGCTGCCGGATCAGTGCTTACATGAGGTGGGTCTTGTCTTGTGTATTATAGATTCACAGTTGCTAATACAGTACTTTAAAATGCGTTGTGCTCAGGGGAGTGTTTGCAGTAAGCACAAATTATTGACTGAAGATGTACTGATCTACTGGCCAGGTAAAAGGATCAGTTCTGTTAGCAGTGCTGAGAGCAATCATGTCATAGAGATTAGGGCTGTGACTGTTGGAAGTTTTAACCACCACAGTGGTAAGGGGGTTGACCACTGCCACTGTTTTGGTTATTGGCAGGGGCCTTTCTCCATCCACTGATTTTCAAACATTTTGGGATATAATTTTAGAATAAACACTTTATGATGGTCTTAAAAGTTTGGAAGATTTTTCTTATCTTCAGCAGGAAAAAGACATAGATTTGATGTTTTATCATGGGGAAAGTGAAACTGAAGTAAATGTTATAAATAAATAATATTAAAAATATTGCTGAGCGACATGGTGATTCAGTGGTTGGCACTGTCGCCTCACAGCAAGAAGGTCACTGGTTTGAGTCCCAGCTTGGTCAGTTGCCATTTCTGTATGGAGTTTGCATGTTCTCCCCGCGTTGGCGTGGGTTTCCTCCGGATGCATGCTCTGGTTTTCTCCACAGTCCAAACACATGCTTTATAGGTGAATTGAATAAACTAAATGGACTGTAGTGTATGTGTGTAAATGAGTGTGTGCGGATGTTTCCCAGCACTGGGTTGCAGCTGGAAGCGCATCCACGGCGTAAAACATACTGTATGCTGGAGAAGTTTACAGTTCTTTCCGCTCTGGTGACCCCTGATGAATAAAGGGACTAAAGAAAATGAATTATTGAATATTATTGGCTCTCTCCAATGTTGTATTAAATTTAAAAACAAAGATGTCCAAATATGCTTTTTGCTGTTCCAGGTTGGTAGAGCAGTTCAGCTAAATACCCATGATGCTGCTGCTGCTTTCCGCTTTCCTAGAGCATTAAAGCCTCAGCTCGGACTTGGAGCCGTCACCAGACAGCCTGCTACTAAGAACAGGACTGTTGTGCCAGGTCAAAGGTCTGCATCACCCCTCAGTTATATGGCTCCAGCTGTTCAGGCTTCAAGTAGTCACCAGGAACCCCCAGGTCAGTAGGCACCAAAACCCTTAAAGTCAAGTCCCCAGTTATCAGTTGTCTTTGATCAGAATGGGCAATGCTTAATTTAATAATATTGATTTGCTTTATGCGTATGCTTAATTTTTATTTCACAAAACTTGACAGGAGTTCTATACTGCCAGAGGCGGACTCATTAATTGTATTGTAATACCCATACGTAGACTTTACTTCAGCTGAGATTATGAAGTGCCATTATTTTGGTTCAAATATTGATCCTTACAGGTATTACAATTTCTATTTGAATTCTATTTGTTCCTTGTCATGCATTTACACATAAATCTAAATTAATTGGTCTCACTTTTAGTTGTTCCTCTATTAAATGCGATTTTGAATTTAGTCTCTTCCTTGCCTTCTAAAAATGAATGTAGGCACTGGATTTTTGTGTCATTTGTGTGAAATATCAGGATCAATGAAGAATCTACACATTTCAAACTTCTTTTGTGTTGGTTACTGTATATAAGTGGGCATTATTAAGCTGCAAAAGTGCTGCAAAATGCTTTATATGAGTGGTATAAAAGTCAATTAAAATCATATGACTTGTTCCAAGTCTCCAAGAATTTAGGCCGTACTCACACTAGGTACAGTTGCCTCGAACCGGGCCAAAGCACGCTTGTCCCCCCTCCTGTCTCCCCCGACGGCCCGCCCTCACACCATAAACGGGCTTCGCACGCTTACGTCATTGCTGCTGTGCTGTTCAGTAAGTGCTCTTGCTCAGCACAGTGGAGATTTCTCTAGTTGTATCGTTTTAGTCGTTTGATATGCAGTCAAATATTTCGCAAAACAGTCCTTAGGGATGCGGTGACGCAGTCAGATATTTCGCCGAACAGATCCGCCAGTTTTGGCGCTCATAAACAATCATAAAGCCCTCGTGCTGCAGGAATGAGGAGGTCTGCTGAAGGCGTGCAGCTGTCGTGCAGTGAGGGGTTTGCGTCTTTAATAAACTACGACAGTTTGCGTTCACTGAACAGTAAGAATGATTAATAAATCCATATGAAACAGCCCCTTAAAAGTCACGTCTCGCTTTCAGTTTCTGGCTTTGGCGCGTTTTACACTCACACACAAGCGTACCGCGCCAAAGCACAAGTGAACCGGGCTCAGGCACACCTCTTCCAACCGGGCCAGGGCCGGCCAAGTGAACCGTGCTTGAGCCCGATTCAGCGCACTCACACTTCTCAAACGATCCGGGAAATGGGCCTGGGCACGGTACGGATGGCATAGTGTGAGTAGGCCCTTAGATTCAAGTCCAAAGATTAGGTATTCCATGCTTTGTTATGTGTAGTGGATAGTAATACCACATTAAACTGTCTATCAATGAAGCACTCAGATTTCTCTTCTGTCTTACAGTGGACCAGAAGAGACTACCCTTGGGTATGTCCCCCAAATTTTTGCTCCCCAAAGCGGGTCAATCTGGACTTCGTCCACCCGGCTTCTCCCATCTGCCTCCTGCTCGACTGGCTGCCTTTGGCTTCGTCCGCAGTGCCAGTGTGTCATCTGTGTCCAGCAATCAATCAAGCGACAGCGCACATAGTGACCACTGCCGAACCAACCGTGAGTTTCCCAAATCTTCTTGTCATCATTCTGCTGTCATCCACACGCAAAACACACTTCATGTGCAGGAGTACACATGAAAACTGGGAAAACACATTGGATTGATAGATTTCATAGATGCTGCAAATTCCTTTGTGCTCTTCTAATGGTACTGTATAATGCAGGGGTGCTCAACCCTGTTCCTGGAGATCGACCTTCCTACACAGTTCAGCTCCAACCAATCAAACACACCTGATCCAATTAATTAGGACCTGAACAGCACTTGATAGTTACAGGCAGGTGTGTTTGATATGGGCTGCAACTGAAATCTGCAGGAAGGTAGATCTCCAGGAACAGGGTTGGTTTATCCCTGGTATAACGGTACTGAAATTTTCTAACATAGACTCATTCTGAAAGCGTAGCCCTGTATACATTTCTGGAGATTCTGCGGATTTTGTATCCAGAAGTACATATAGCTGCATTTCGTCTTTAAAATGAACCCTACAGAGCGGTATGATGCTGTTCCTTTTAACACTTACCAGCTGACTGCTTACCTCCGTATGGACAGCTTTTCCACTGTTAGCAGTTTGCCCTGTAGCTTGTCAAGCTGAAAATGATTCTAATTGAGCTTCAGGGTTTTACGGAAATATATCGCTTTTAGAAAAGTTTATCTTATATCCTGAGATTTTACCGAATTGATCTAAAATTGACATGGCGGCTGGTGTTGATTGTAGGGAGTTATGCTGCCTTTACACCTGATGCAGAAGAAGCATCAAGCGCATGTTAAAGTCAATGCAAAGATGCGAAATTTGTGGGGGGATACGCGTACATGGCGCACTGCGAATGACGCGAATTGCGCGAATGGCGGTGTGTGAATTGAGCTTTTTGTGCGTAAATGCCATTTGAATAATACACAAAATTAAAACATTTATTCATTCATTTTTTTTTCTTTTCGGCTTAGTGCCTTTAATAATTAGGGGTCGCCACAGCGTAATGAACCGCCAACTTATCCAACATATGTTATCCAGTTGAAATGCCAACTGACCCAGCGGGAACTTGAACCAGCAACCTTTTTGCTTTGAGGTGACAGAGCTCAACAATGCGTCAGCGTGTTGTCCACAAAATTATATCATTGAATAAAATAATGTTCACAAAGCATTTTCGGTATAGGTTTTTGGCCAAGTGCATCCAGAATTTTCGGTTGCGGTATTGGCCCAGAATTTTCATTTTGATGCATTCCTGTTTTCACCCTTATTTTCATTGAGAAAATTAACAATGACTAATATAAACTGTGTTTTTCTTTTATTTAAAAAAAATAAACAAGGTGAGACATGTTCAGAGAACCATCTTCCTCTGTCTGGACGTATTCTGCTCCGTATAATGTTAATATTTTTAATGATTTTATATGTTATCTAATAGAAGTTAATAGTTTTGATAAAGGCAGTCATACTGTTCCTGATATGTAACTTGTTTTTGTAAGTTTAAACTTCTGGAACCTGCTCATGTAATATTTGTGTCTCTAGTTAGGAACAACTCGACGATTTTCTTCTTATTATTATTTTTTTAAATAAATTTTTCTGGATTCTAGAAACAAGTATTGTGCACACACCTCTTGTCTGTAGCTGAAAAGCTGAAAAGATGATGTGAAACAGGTTTGGTTGTTATAATCAGACATAGGCCCTGTTTACATCTGCTATGAAGCTGGGTTTTGGTTGTGTTTCCATCTGGAGTTCAGGTTCATTTTCAACAGTCAGGTCAAGAGATCAATAAAGTTAGTCGATAAAAGGAGGATGCTGGAAAAACAGAAATAGAAAATATGAGATTGTGCCTCATGACTATAATAATAATAATAATAATAATAATAATAATAAAAGCACACATTTGGCTACTATATGAGGAGTCATAATACAATTGTCTATAATCACAGAACTGACTGAGTGTCTTTCTTTCCTCTCAGTAAATGTACTACTGAATTGTTTTTTATTTTTTATGACGGCTGTATGACGCCTCAAGCAATGCGCTTACTAACTTCAAAGCATCTGCTTCCTCTTAATTGCCACACAAGCTGCTGAAATGTCACCCAACCCCCCACATTTTTCAGGGAACTCAAAGTCTATTCAACATATTCACTTCAACATCAACATCAGTATTTTCCCCTTGCAAGGTTTGGACTTGTGACTACTGAGGGAAAGTTGATTGAAAATACTTGCTATGAATGTCTATAATATATTCTTTTTAAGCACCTCAAGATAGATATTAGATTTTGTCAGTATTTTCTAGGGTTGGGTATTGCACTGTACAGTGTAAAGAAGCTGTTATTTCAGCCTGATCTCACGAGAAAACGTACGTATTTTACGTTTTGCCAGTTTAGTGGCTAATTCGTATGAATTCGTACAAGTTCAGTCGTATGAAATTGTACGTTTTTAAAAGGGAGGCGTGGCACCTAACCCCACCCGTAAACCCAACCGACCCAACCATCATTGGGGGATGAGCTAATCGTACTAAATTGTACGAATTAGATTGTACGAATTAGCCACTAAATAAAAAAATTGCCGTGAGATTGCGTTGGTTATAGACCTTTTACGCAACCGGAAGTACGTCAACAACGTGTAAACCCAGTTCCGGTATGAGTTTTTTTTTGGCGGAGAAATGGCAGCTAGAGTGTTTTCGGCGAGCCTGAGTTGTCTTCCGAAGTTAATTAAATAAGTAATTAAATACATGCAATTAAAATAGGGGAGA